GAGAGAAAAACAACTTTAAATCATATAATCATCTTTAGGGAAGTTACTGCAGTCCTGAGCTTTTTATAAGTGCATGACTGAGACACTTTCACTTCTTCTTTGTCTTTATTTCTGATAATAAATGTCCTAAATCTGAACCGTTTTGTGATTTTATTTTTTTTAACTTACACATTTAATGCAGACTTGAATACAGAATCTGAGTTTCTTAATGATCCACACTGTTCAACTCAATAAAATGATTTTTATTTTTGATCTCAGCTATATATATATATATATATATATATATATATATATAATAAAAAAACTGAGGCTTAAATGATAATCTGAAATCCTGTTTGTACCTTGATAATAAAACATCGACAGAGAATTTAGATTTTTCTTAAATAACTTTGTTTTTTCAATCGATACATTTTTGGAGGAATATAAATGTTGTAAAATCTTGTAAATGAGTCTCCGAGGCTCAGCGGGATTAACTTGTCAAAATAAAGGTTGAATGAATGAATGGATGTCAGCTTTTGTTCAGAGTTTAAATTTTAGTAGAAATATTATTTATACTCTGTGCATTTAAAACTAGTCTCGCTTTAAACTACAATCATCTAATGATGAGAAGGGACGGCGTTTGGATTAAACCCGCTTAATAAAGTTTTCATATCTGAATGCGCTCAGAGTACGTGCTGGGTATCAGTCTCAGCTACTGCCACGCTCAGTATCTTTAAAGTTGACTGAGTTGTAGCCAGTCAGTTGGCTATGGCAGCCATCTTGATTTGAATTAGCTTAAAAAAATAATCGGTTGTAAACATCCAGTGATCATTTCCTGAAAGTTTTGTTAAAATTCATCCAGTTTGTCATGAGATATTTTACTAATAGACAGCTGACTTTGAATGGAATACTGTATGTGTTGGAGATTATTCACAGCTACAGTTCAATATTTGTAAAATGACCTGCTTTTTTTTTTCTTCTTCTTCTTTTGTGCTTTCCAAAGCTGGCTGGTTGTGGCAGCCATCTTGAATCAGGTTGACCCCTTCAGTAATTTATCTGTAGATACTTCTGGAGAGTTTAATAAACATCCACCCACTGGTTCATAATATGTTGGTAACCCTGAACACACGGACGATACAGTAACTCAATTTAGCTATGTCTGTAGACACAGTTGCATTGTGGGTAAACCAAAAAAAAAGTTTTAACATTTTTATGGAGTAAAAACTGAGATTTCAAGAAACTTAATTCGTAAACTTTACTACTCAGTTGTAACTGAAATGAACCAAAGCAGGTAAAATTTTAATTGCCGTCAGCTTTGATCATCTTTAGTGAATAACTGTAACGTTCTCGTTGTGCGACTGTAACTGTCGGGTCTGAGTGATGTTGTGCAAGTCGTTCAGACGACGGGGAGCCAGGTAGCTCACCTGTCTGCATGAGTCAAGGTATTTACATGGTGCTTGCTGTTGAGGTGGATATGTAAATCACATGGGCCACTCTGACAAATTCACAGATTACGTCCACAACTCGGAGTCTAAATGAGGCCACCTGACCGATGTGTTCTCACCTGCGCAGGTAACTTTTACAGAACCTGCCCAAGAACTGTGATTCTGTAAACCAGTCACCCGGAGTTAAGTATTAATTAATCACACGCGGAGGATTTGGGATCATTTGAGGTTTCAGAGGTCATAGTTTGAGAGAAAAAAACGTGTTTGTATTTATTTAAAATCATTAAAAAATGGAAGTAAAAACAGAAAAGGTGACCACAGGTCGGTGAGGAGCTGCTTCTTAGTTTCTGAATCTTGTAAAGATGTTATAAAAACTAGCTGCCTCAGGGTTTTTAACTAATACAAACAGAGTGTTTAAAGGAAACCTGCAGGCGCACTGATAAATATTCACACTTTCTGCGTCAACTGATCCCTGAGCGTTCACATGACTCTCTGCCTCCACCTGCTGCAGGTAAAAACTAAAATGTTTGTTCTTTCCAGGATTTGGTGGACTGGAGGAAGCCCCTGGCATGGCAGGTGGGTCACCTGAGGGAGAAATACGACGCGTGGGTCCATCAGCCAGTCGATAAACCCATCAGACTGTTCGGTAACCCTTTCCTGGAGGCAGCGACCAAAACTTACTGGTTAGAAATAATTCTCTTTACATATGTAAATAAGTTTTTTTTTTTTTTTACATATTTGATGAAAACGAACTGCTTCAAGTGAGGGTACAGTAAATTTTTCATTCGTTCAACCTTTATTTATACAGGCTAGCCTCACTGAGCCACGAGGACTCAGCGAGACCTGTTCCACACAGAACATATAAAGTACAGTAGTCCCTCGTTTATCGCGGGGGAGCCGTACCCTGAAGCACCATGATAAGTGAAAAAGCGCAAAGTAGGAATAGTAGTACAAGTCATGATTTCAGCTCCCTGCCTTGCTGCTCTCAGCCACCTGCAAGCACTCTTGGCCACGCCCACTTCCCTGCTCTGAACGGAAAACAGCTGATCAGCTGCAGCAGGAAGTTTATCCTGCAGTATGGGCTGCACAAATGTGCAGCAGGTGCTAAATAATTTAAAATTTATCTTAAATAAAAATTCTATGCCGATCATGCGGCTCATCCATCAATCAGCCAATTGGTTGTCATGTCCCATCTTATTCTGAAAAATTGCGATAGAGCGAGTCAGCGATAAACGAACAGTAGTAGAGGGACTACAGTACAAACAACAATAATGGTAAACAATGACGATAAGTTACATTAAAAATGCAGTTAAAATAAGAGTAGTGTATAAAACAATAAATCAGGGTGCTGTAAAACGGTGAAATACTAAAAACAAGAACTTACTTGCTTTGATTTATCTATTGACATTATCAAATGTTTGAATGGCAACGTGCTGCAGTGTCTGCTCGCTTTTTATAACCTTATCAGCTTGATAAGGTTCCAGTGGGTGTCCTCCAAGGCATCTGTAGTCTCACATGGCACTCCTGGCCTTCAGATACAGTCCATGGACATCTCTTCAGGATAAGAGTGTTCTGAGAGACAACTTGGTTGTTTGTTTTAAGGGAAAGAACACTAGTAATAATATATGTATAACTCCATAACCTCTGACATTGAACGAGTAAAAGATCATTCTATGCAAGAATGTAAACCGAGATCATCTTAAAAATGAAGCTGTGTGATCTCATGCAACGTTATGAGACGTTAGTAGGTTCTTAATGACTCTCAGCTACTGCGGTGTTTCCCCTACCATTATACAAGCGGGGTGCCCCGCCCCGTCAACAGAACTGAGCGCCCTGCGTACTGAACTGTCAGTATTGAAGTAGCACAGGGCACAATATAAACGCTGGAGCAAAAAATTGCTACCGACGTACCGCTCTGCATTACACCCCCCACACCCGTCGTTGTAAAAAAAAATTTTTTTTAAACTGCAGCAATGTAGCGCTAAGCTAGCAGGCGGGCTACACAGACATGACTCCTTCCCATTTCCCCCGTCGACAAAAATAAAACACGACGAGCGCCCCGCCAAGGGAGCTGACCTAGAGGAAACGCTGTACTACCACTTGGTGTGAATAAAACTCTACAAGTTTGTGCCAACACCTACAACTTAGTCCATTTTACAGATAACGAGCCAAGATTTGGAGTGGTGGTAGCTGAGAGTCATCTCTGAGCCATTCTTCAACCACTAACCGATCACGCAAAGCTTCTTTTCAAGACTGAACCTGAACAACTTTTAACTATAAATCTGTGGATTTAAAAACTCCAGGACACAGTTATTATCTTTATTTTTAATTTAACGTGGGCTTTATATTTAAATCTTTAACCTGACCGTGATATTTTCTGTTGTGTTGCTGCAGGTACTGGGTACTGGTAGTTTGGGTCCCAGTCGTGTTCTACCTCAGCTGGTACTGCTACACCACGTTGGCACAGGGCAGCACAAGAATAACCATCACTTCAGGTAACGCACACCTGTACACAACACACACACTCTTTATGAACACCAGGATGTTTTCATTTACAAATCCACGTTCATATTTGAATATTCAGATTGTGTGTGTGTGTGTGTGTGTGTGTGTGTGTGTTCTCAGACTTCTCCGTTCCCGTCCATAAGTCCATGTTCCCCGTGTTGTTCTTGATGGGCTGGTTCTTGTGGTCCTTCCTGGAGTACTGCATCCATCGCTTTGTTTTCCACATGAAACCGCCAGCTCACAACTACTACCTGATCACGCTACACTTCCTGCTTCACGGGCAGCACCACAAGGTCCGAGCAGGATCTCTCGGCTAATATTAGCTTTTCTGTGATCTCATCAGCAACTTCCTCCTCTCTGCATGCTGTCACTTCTGACCTGCCAATCGACTGCAGTCATCGCACCTTTGCACGTTTCCGTCCATTTAAACGTTCAGAGTATTTAACGTACGTCCACTGAGGATCAAAACGGAGACAAATGTTTCGTCCTTTGTCGCACAGCACGGAGCGGTGCAGCACAACCTGGACAAAAATATCATTTTTACAGATTTACTGTGTATTTATTTATTAACCTTTGTTTAACAGTATACATTTCAAACTAATCAGGGCAATAATTGAAAAGATGATTTTATTTTATAATAAAGTAGTTTAA